GGAAAATGAATAACTATATTTATCCAAAGATATTTATATTAAGACACAAAATTACTGGTAGGCCAAAAGCCCCAGTAATTTTTTGGGCAATCCTATTTCCGTAGTGATACTGCCTCGGAAACCCAAGGAGGGGTCGCTATGAGTCGGGGCCGACTCAACGGCAAATAACAACAACAACAACAGACTTAAAAAAGCAAGACTATTAGCCTAACTATAGAAGAAATAACAAGAGAAAAAGTAATTTACTTGACTATAAATAGGCAAGAATATATTATCAATCCATTTTAGAGTAAGATAAAATGTAAATAGATAGTAAAAATCTCCAGGTCAGAAAAACAAAAGATCTTCTGCTCATATGTGTAATGGAAAATTTACAGAACTATTTGGAAAGCTCAGTTCATCAACTGAAAAAATATTAAAGTGTCTACTCACACCAACTCATCTTCAGCCACTTCCTTTTGTGTATCTAGATTTTTCCTCCTCAATTCTGTCATCATCTGATCAATCTCTTTCTGAAGTCCTTGCAAATTTCTCTCAAAGGCCTTGTCTTGAACTCCTAGAGTTTCATTTAGTTTTACAGCTTTTTCATTTACAGCTGCAGGGGGTAAAACAAATTTTGCAAATCAGTAAAAAAAATGCCACACACCAAAAAACGGCAACCAGCATCTGCTCCCGGCCACCGTCTCCAGATGCGATGCAATTTGCCATGGGCGTTGCTGCTGAGAATCGAGGGACGGTTGGTAAAGTCATCGGGAACAACAGGAAATGTGACCCAGGTCTCCAGAGTTTCATTGTATTTCATTTACGAGCATATTAATTAAAGCCTGGTGTTTCTACCTCAAAAGGAAGAAATAAATGTGAAGATGTAGGCCAAACCTTCTTCAAATAAGAGGTTAAGAGAGACAGAGAGAGAGAGAGAGACATGTAGCGCAATACCTGGAAGCTGAAACATGAGATTTACATTACTAATAAGCCACTCCTCAGAAGTAAGGTTGGGCAATCCTACTTCTGTAGTGATACTGCCTCGGAAACCCAAAGAGGGGTCGCTATGAGTCAGGACTGACTCCACGGCACATAACAACAACAACAACAACAATAAGACCATTGCATTCCATCAATTCTAAAATCTTGATGAGAGAAATGCTATCAGCAAAAAAGATCTCCAAAAATGAAATTGTCCTTGCTTTCACAGAGTGTGCCTAAAGTTTATCTATTTTAAAGGAGTATGGAAAGGAGCATAGGACTAGGGAACAGGGTTATAGATTAGATCTCCAAGATACCCTCCAGCAAAACATCTATCATAAGAGTCTGTGTTTATTATGCATTAAATGGAGTTTCAAACTGTGCTCTTCAGAATCTTAGGATTTTCCGGGTGTTTCAGGAATTCTACAAATGATGTCTATTGTGCCAAGAATTTGTTTTATAGGTTGGTGTTCTGGGCAAGATTTCATTTGGAAAAAGAATGCTATGTCAAACAAAAGTTTGAAAAACTGGTAAATTAAAACATGTATACAGTTCTGCCATTAGTTTTAGACTAGTGTTTCCTGAAAAGTGTTCTATGGAACATTAATCTGGTGAGTTCAAGGAAGATGTTCTCCCAAACTCTTTTGTCTGCTGGACCTTTATATCTATAATGTCAGTATCAGTATTAATTACCCTTGAGTCCATTCCAACTCATAGCAATCCCCTACATGCCAGGGTAGAATTGTGCTCCATAGGTTTTAAATGGTTACCTTTCAGAAGTAGATCACTAGGCCTTTCTTTGGAAGTTCATCTGGGTAGAGTGGAACTGCCAACTTTTGGGTAGTAGAAAACTCTGTAACAGTTTACATTGCCCAGGGATTCCATATCTATAATATTACCTGTGAAAATCCTTAGAACAAGGGCTCTCAATTGACCAAGAGGTATTCTCTACCACTCAAGGCATTTTCTATCACTAAGATTTCTATAAGATACAAAGAATCCTAATATTAATTTCTATTCTTGGAGAAAGTGTTCTGATAAGACTAGTAAAACTTGTTCCAGGGGAGAAATGATAAGAGCTCCTAAAACAGGTTCATATAGTTGGGGCAAGGAAAGCAGCTAGAGTGAGGTGTGAGATAGCAGGTTAGGACGGTGACTATCTAATGTGGTCCCCAAACCACCTTTATCAACATCACCTCAGAAATTCTTAAATGTGGAAACTCTTAGGTTCTACCACTGACTGAGACCTGTCGCTGCTGCTGCTGCTGTTGTTGTTGTTATTTGCTATTGAGTCGAACCCGACTCATAGCGACCCCTCCGTGGGTTTCTGAGGCACTATCAAAACAGAAGTAGATTTTGCCCAATCTTCCTTCTGAGGAGTGGCTGATGGATCTGAACCACCAGCCTTCTGGTTAGCAGTCAAGTGGCTTAGGCACCGCTAAATTGCTTCTAACTCATAATGATCCTATGTACAATAGAAGAAAAATACTGCTTGGTCTTGTGCCATTCTCACAATCATTGCTATGTTTGAGCCCATTGTTGTAGCCACTGTACCAATCTCATTGAGAGTTTTCCTTTTTTTTTTTTTTTTGTTAATTATTTACTTTACCAAGTATGATGTCCTTTTCCATGGACTGGTTCCTCTTGATAACATGTCTGAAGTATGTAGACAAAGTCTCACCATTCTTGCTTCTAAGGATCATTCCAGCTGGACTTCTTCCAAAGCAGATTTATTGGTTCTTCTGGCTAACACCATGATTCAAGGGCATCAATTCTTCTTCAGTCTTCCTTAGTTATTGTCCAACTTTCACATGTATATGGGGCAATTGAAAACACTGTGGCATGGGTCAGGCACATCTTAGCCCTCAAAGTGACATCTTTGCTTTTTAACACTTTAAAGAGGTCTTTTGCAGCAGATCTGCCCAATGCAATATGTCATTTGATTTCTTGACTGCTGCTTCCATGGGTGTTGATTGTGGATCCAAATAAAATGAAACTCTTGACAATATAAATATTTTTTTCCTTTTATCATGATATTGCTCATTGGCCCAGTTGTGAGGATTTTTGTTTGCTTTACGTTGAGATGTAGTCTTTGATCTTCACCAGTCAATGCTTCAAGCTCTCTTCGCTTTCAGCAAGCAGGTTATGTCACCTGAATATTGCAGGTTGTTAAGGAGTCTTCCTCCAATTCTGATGGCACATTCTTCTTCATATAGCTCAGCTTCTTAGATTATTTGCTCAGTGCACAGATTGAACAAATCTGATGAGATTACAACCCTGATGTACACTTTTTCTCATTTTAAATTGAAGCAGTGGACCAGAATTATGTGTTTTAAGAAGACTTCTAAGTGATTCTAATGCAGTTAAAGTTTTAAAACCACTAGGTTAGTAGAAAGGATTGAATTTCAATCTCCAATCTATCTTTTTCAAAAATGCATCTTTATAATTCTCTTTTTATTGTAAATGTCATTGGTTAGAAAAAGATGCTCTAGTGGCACAGTGGTTAATGCATTCAGCTGCTAACCAAAAGGTTGGTGGTTCAAACTTACCAGCCACTCTGCAGGAGAAAAATGAGACAGTCTTCTTCTGTAAAAATTTACAGCATTGGAAACCCTAGGGGGCAGTTCTACTCTCTCTTATTGGGTCATTATGAGTTGGAATCGAGAAAATGACATATTTTTTTTTAAAGTGGGTTAGATAGAAAGTTTATGTGGTCTTTGATTAATCAAGTTGCTAGAGTTTTATCTGTAGAAGGCTTTGAATCAGTTGTTTGAAAGAAAAAAATTGAAAATCTTCAGAACTGGGCAATAAGCAGTGTCACGATAAATGGAGAAAAGATTGAAGCCATCAAAGATTTCATATTAGTTGGTTCCACAATCAACACCAAAGGAAGCAGCAGTCAAGACATCAGATGATGTATTGCACTGGGAGAATCTACTTCCAAAGTGATACTGCCTTGGAAACCCAAGGAGGGGTCGCTATGAGTCGGGTCCGACTCGACGGTACATAACAACAACAACAACAACAAAGTGATGAAGAGCAAAAATGTCTCTTTGAAGAATAAGGTGTGCCTAACCTGAGCCATGGTATTTTCAATTGCCTCATAAGCATGTGAGAGCTGGAAAATTAATACGGGAGACCAAAGAAGAGTTGATGCTTTTGAGTTGTGGTGTTGGCAAAGGATACAAAAAGTACCATGGACTGCCAGAAGAACTAGCAAATCTGTCCTGAAAGAAGTGCCGCTGGCATGCTCCGTGGAGGTGAGAATGGCTAGACTTCGTCTCATCTACTTTGGTCATGTTATCCTTAGGGACCTTTCCCTGGAGAAAGATATCATTGTCAGTAAAGTGGAAGATCAACGAAAAAGGGGAAGGCCCTCAATGAGATGGATTGCCACAGAGGCTGCAATGATGGGCTCCGGTATAGCAAGTATTGTGAGGCTGGCACAGGACTAGGCAGTGTTTTGTTCTGTTGTACATATGGTTGGTATGAGTTGGAGCCAACTCGATGGCACTTAATAACAACTGCCCTGTGGTAAGTGCTTTGCTCTTGGGAAATATTTCTGGAAGTTAGGGTGCAACTTTCTTTGTTCGCTGCCCAGTAGTTACCTTGACATATGCCAAAGGGCTTGCCCAAGTTTGAACCACTATTGGTAGGGAAATATTGTCCAGACTATGCTGTGTTTGCTATGGAACAAAGAACTGTAGATTAATTTACTTGAAAGTCCCTTGGTCCAGCAGACCATATGGGCATCATTCTGGAGTGCCACATTGATTCTGCATAAAAGTTTCTGCTTCCTAGATTCCAAGAAAAGCAGTAGTAAATTTAGCTACAGCTAGAGCATAGCCCTATCTTTTTGTGTAAGTTCATGACTGTCTGTACAGCTGTTTTTAACCAGGTGTAGAATAAAAGTATACATTGACATCATTTACTTATTTATTTTTAATGAAAGTGGTAAAATTTACTCCTAACCAGCCAAAGCTGTATGTTTTTTCATTTGTTAAATAAATATATAAATGAGCTTTGATAAGAAATACTTTTTGAAATCTGATTCAATCTAGGTCTTATGAGGGTAATCAACAAAGGAGGAATGTGGGACACAGCTTCATTCTTTCTCTTAAGATCTATTCTCAAAGCTAATGTTCTGCAGAGAAAGATGGTGGAAAAGAATGACAGAAAGAGTAAGGGAAAAGGCAAGGATGGCTGATCCTGTTTGAATGCATGTGAATTTCTTTTAAACCAAACCAACATGTAAGGAAGTAGAAGAAATTATTAAGGTTACAGACACACACAAATGCCTTTGCAAAATCAAGTTGTATTAAGAAAGCAAGCATTATTTTAATAAATGAATTCTGATTACTCCACTGCATTATATATGGGACTTGGAACTTCTCAGAGTATTTTCAAACAAAAGATGAATGCATTATTTAGTTTCTTATTCAAAAGTAGATACTGTTAGTTCAGTACATCTTCAGTACCTTATTGAAAATAATTACCAAATAACATATCTTTTGAATTTACTTATAATCTACTTCAAGCTTATTTGAAAGGATATTGAAGGTATTTTCAAAATGTCTTTAAAAGAAGGTGAAAATTAATAGAAGATTCTGACTCATGCACCCCCTCACATGT